TCTCTCTTTGTTTTCTCTTACTCTTCTATAAGAGGAGTTGTTTCTGGGATGATTTTTTCTTAAGAGTTTAGGGCCCTATTTATAGTGTTTGGGAAATACTATGCACTAATAAAATATTATTAGTGGGACCCGCCAATTGATCCAAGAGAACACCCTCTCTTGATCAGATACACTCCAAGAACTCTCACAAACTCTCTCTTTGTTTTCTCTTACTCTTCTATAAGAGGAGTTGTTTCTGGGATGATTTTTTCTTAAGAGTTTAGGGCCCTATTTATAGTGTTTGGGAAATACTATGCACTAATAAAATATTATTAGTGGGACCCGCCTGAAGATTTGATTGAATATCAATCATATCTTCACACCACTCTTGGTTGCATCATCCGGATGTCATGTATCTTTGGCGTCTTGCACGGCCCTCAACATCTCAACGGAGGCCATATGAGGCTGCACACAGCCTCACCTTCTCGAGTGGAACTGGCTTGGTCAGCATATCGGCTGGATTGTACCTCGTATCAATCTTCACAAGCTTGAACTCGTTCCTACTTTGCCATCTCCGTATGGCATGGTGCTTCACGTCAACATGCTTGGTCCGAGCATGGAATGCGTCGTTCTCTTCGATAGCTTGAAATGACTTGCAAACGGCGAGCCCACCGGTTTAGCTTTCTCCATGCCAAACTTTTCAAGAATCTTCTCAATGTAGGCCTTCTGAGACAACCTCAGCCTCCGTGCTGATCTGTCTCTGATGATCCTCATCCCCAGAATCTGGTTTGCTGGACCCAGATCCTTCATCTCGAAGCACTCGGAGAGACGCCCCTTGAGTTCCTCAATGCGGGCCAAGTCGGGCCCTGCAATCAACATGTCATCAACATAAATCAAGAGTATTACATAGGATTCGTCATATCTCTTGATGAAGCAGCAGTGGTCTGTGTCACATTTGAGAAAACCGTTCTCCTCCATAAAGTTCTCGAACTTCATGTACCACTGTCGTGGAGCTTGCTTCAGGCCATACAAGCTCTTGTGCAGACGACATACGAGGCCCTCCCTGCCTCGTTCCTCGAAGCCCACTGGTTGATGCATATAGATTTCTTCCTCCAGATCTCCATGAAGGAATGTCGTCTTCACATCCATCTGTTCTAGGTGGAGATCTTGAACTGCTACAATGCTCAGCATAGTTCGGATCGTGGTCAACTTGACGACGGGAGCGAAAACGTCAGAATAATCAATCCCTGCTTTCTGTTCATAGCCCTTCACTACAAGCCTCGCCTTGTAGCGTCTCCGTCCATCGGCTTCATCCTTGACCCGATAAATCCACCGATTGTGAAGAGCCTTTCGCCCTCGTGGAAGCTTTACAAGCTCCCAAGTCCCATTCTTCATCAAGGACTTCATTTCTTCCTCCATGGCAGACTCCCACTCGCCGCGAGCTTTGCCGGTCTGCTGTACCTCCTCATAGCTCTCTGGCTCACCATTGTCAGTCAGGAGAAGGTAATTCATTGTGGAAAGGTACCTCTCTGGCACCCTTGGATTTCTTGGAGCTTTGCGAATTGCGATCGGCAACTCTGCTGGATCCTGCTGCTGTGCATCCTGCATGTTCTCTTGGTCTCCGTCTTCTATGCTGATTGGTATCTCATCGTTGTCCTCACTGTCAGCAATATCTGGGAAAAGAGGGGGAGATAGCTGACTCCCACTCACCTCTTTGGTCTTGTACACCGCATTCTCATGGAATACGACGTCACGACTGCGCACCACCTTGCGCGCATCGTGATCCCAGAAACGGTACCCATACTCATCTCCTCCATAGCCGATGAAAGAGAGCTTCTTTGACTTTGGATCAAGCTTTGACCGGTCTGCAGGATTGGTCATGACATAGGCGTCACAACCAAATACTCGTAAGTGCTCTAGCTTCAGCTTCTTTCCGGTCCAAGCCTCTTCAGGTATCCCATAATTGAGAGCCGCGGATGGCCCGCGGTTGATCAAGTATGCAGCAGTATTGACAGCTTCAGCCCAAAAGCTCTTGGGCAATCCGGAGTGGATCCTCATACTTCTGGCGCGCTCCAAGATAGTGCGATTCATGCGCTCCGCCACTCCGTTGTGCTGAGGTGTGCCTGGGACGGTCTTCAGTCTCCGAATCCCACGGGACGAGCAGAAGTTCTCGAACTCCTGGCTGCAATACTCGCCTCCATTATCAGACTTTAGGCACTTCAGCTTATTGCCTGTTTCGTTCTCCACACAGGCAAGCCACTTCTTGAAGATGATGAATACATCTGACTTGTGCTTCAAGAAGAACACCCACAATTTTCTCGTAGCATCATCAATAAAAGTGACAAAGTAAAGAGAGTTACCAACAGATGGGACTTGCGCAGGTCCCCACACGTCGGTGTGCACCAACTCCAATTTCTGCAGTTTTGGAGCCGGTCCGGTCTTGTTGAAGCTCACCTTCTTTTGTTTGCCTAGGATGCAGTCCTCACAGAAAGTCAGATCGATCTTGTTCAGACCCGGAAGCCTCTCTCCCGCGGCCATAATCTGCATCCCCTTCTCGCTCATGTGGCCAAGTCGTCGATGCCAAGTCATGCAGTCGACGGATGATGATGATGATGCTTGTCCTGCGGCAAGCAAGTGGTCGATCTTCCCGTTGGCGATGTAGAGAGACCCCTCGCGTTTGCCGTGTGCCACCACCAGGGCACCCTTGGACACCTTCCAGCTTCTCTGCTCGAAGGATACTCTGTAACCGGAGTCAGTCAGTTGCCCGACTGATATAAGATTTCGCCTGAGATCTGGTACATGCCGAACATCATTCAGCGTCAAGGTGGTCCCGCCCTCCATCTTGAGGGTACAATTTCCCTTCCCGGAAACCTTACAAGGTTGATCGTCGCCAAGATAGACTGTCCCCAAGTCCTTCTTCACGAACGATGAAAGCAGCTTTTGTTGTGAGGTTGCATGAAAAGATGCGCCAGAGTCGATGACCCACGCATCACTTTTGTCTTCTAGGGATAGGAGAAGTGCATCCGAATCCGTCTCGTGCATGAGATTGGCTGCACCGTCAGCCCGATCATCCCCTGCTGATGCTTGAACAGTAACTCTGCAGTCCCGTGCAAAGTGGCCCTTCTTTCCGCATCTGAAGCACTTCCCTTCACCGTAACCATTCGGGTTTGGCTCTTTAGACTTCCCTCTGGATTTTGATTGGCCTCGTCGTCCCCTACCCTTCTTCTGTGCACGCCCTCGTGCCTCGACATGCAGAGCACTCCCACTGCTAGAGGCCTCAGCTCCTGAGACTTTGCGGCGAGATTCTTCATCCAGAATTGCCCCAACCACTGTGTCGAGCTTCATCTTGTCATTGCCATTAGCGTTGCTCACCGCCATTACCATATTCTCCCATGAATCTGGTAGACAAGAAAGTAGCAGAAGAGCTTGGATCTCGTTGTCGAACTTTAGATCTACTGCAGCAAGCTGTTGCACCACAGCCTGAAATTCGTTCAAGAAGTCCGCCACGCGAGCTCCTTGCTGCATCTTGAGATTGAATAGCTTCTTCATCAGGTACACCTTATTTGAAGCAGACGGCTTCTCATACAGCGCCTCCAAGGCCTCCATCAACTCCTTGGTGGTGGTCGCATGCGAGACGTTGTAAGTCACATGCTGGTGAAGGTTGAGCCTGATGGTGGCAAGTGCTTTACGATCGAGCACCTTCCACTTATCGTCGTCCATCTTCTCAGGTTTCCCCGCCTCTCCTTGGAGGGGTAGGAAGAGATCCTTCTGGTACAAATAGTCTTCTATTTGCATCCTCCAATACCTAAAATTTTGGCCGCCGAACTTCTCAATTCGAAGCCTGTTGTCTTCAACTGTAGATCCCATGGCGAAAGATTACGTCTTTCCCGTATTTGTGAATAGTACCGTATTCGTGAATAGTACCGTATTCGTGAATAGTACCGTATTCGTAAATAGTACCGTATTCTTGAATAGTACCGTATTCGTGAAGATCCACTTTTAGTGACAGCCACAGAGCATACGATAAGCAGATATATATACTCTAAGTCAGGCTCTGATACCAGTTGTTAGGATTCACCCCAATAATAACGCCTCGAACGGAGACTTAATCACAAAATAAAGGCACAAAATTCAACACAGAGTACTCACAGATATACGTGGTTCACTCCTTCGGAGCTACTCCACGGTGCAACGCAGCCACAGAGCATACGATAAGCAGATATATATACTCTAAGTCAGGCTCTGATACCAGTTGTTAGGATTCACCCCAATAATAACGCCTCGAACGGAGACTTAATCACAAAATAAAGGCACAAAATTCAACACAGAGTACTCACAGATATACGTGGTTCACTCCTTCGGAGCTACTCCACGGTGCAACGACGACGCCAAATTCTTTAATATCCCAAAAGAATTGATCCAAGAGAACACCCTCTCTTGATCAGATACACTCCAAGAACTCTCACAAACTCTCTCTTTGTTTTCTCTTACTCTTCTATAAGAGGAGTTGTTTCTGGGATGATTTTTTCTTAAGAGTTTAGGGCCCTATTTATAGTGTTTGGGAAATACTATGCACTAATAAAATATTATTATTGGGACCCGCCACTAATAATAATTAACTAGTGGGACCCGCATACTTTTCCAATTTTCTCAAAAAACGGCCACCGAATTCCCTAATGTCAACAAGGGTTGCTGGGGTCAAAAATGATGGCTGGTTAACAATAATTACATTTTGATTGAACTTGATACCGATAGGTGTACAAAACATAACGTTAACCTTCCATGTCAAAATGCATGAACCAGAATTCTGCAGGTTTTGGTTGAATTGTAGACGACTTCTGTTGGAGCAATGATTTGTTTGTTAAAAAGGTGTTGATGTTCTTCCAATTTAATGAACTCATACGTATTTGTTCATCATTAACCACTATAAGCATCGCATTCATTAACGCAGACCGCACTAATATGCATATCCATCATGAACAAGGAAACAGGTGTCGTCTATGATAAACCATAATGCTCTTCATTACTTCTCAGAAGTAAGATACAGTACAAGTTCTACTAATACTCTTTGCAGTTCATACCAAATCCTTATCCGCTTATTATGATTTCGATGGTAATATCATCGTAGTATCTAATATTTTATTGTCATAAATTAGAGCCAGATAGCACCTGCAGCCCTGAGCAAAGGGAGCAAGCGGCCCTCTAAGTGAAGGGACATAACCTTGTCAGTAGAACCAATTAACCTCCCTCCAATGAAAACTGCAGGCACCGAAGATTTACTATTCCGCCCAAGGAGACGGCTTAGCGCCCCCTCTATCTCTCTCTCATTCATCTCCTCATCTATCTCATGAACAACTGTTTTCACACCCATCTCAGAGAAAAATCTCTTGATGGTATGGCACATGCAACATGTGCTCTTGCTGAAGATCACCACCGCGCTCTCAGAGGCTATGTCCCTCACAGTCTCCATTTTTTATTTATTTTGAACGAATAGAGGTCCTTTTGCCTGCTTATTTATACAGCAGGGAAAGTGTTTTGGAATACTATCAAGAAAAGGTATAACAATGGGTCTTCTTTTTTTTTCCTGGCATATCTTGATATTTACAAAATACACATCTGATCATTGATTTGAAAGTGACCCGTTTCTTTTTATCTAGTTTGTTAGATTTGAGCTGAAAGTTGTGGTAGTAAACAAAGATTCAATTTTTGGAATATGTCATGACTTTATTTAGAGGTAATTGAATATTTGTCTTTCGGATCATCCATAACTGCAAATTAGTCCCTCAAATCTCAATATTCGCTTAGAGTCCCTTAAACCTGTACGCCACTTGCAATTTCATCCATCTGGTTCAGTAATGTGAGTTTTGAGGATAATATTATGTTATCTTTAACGGAATGAGAGGGTTTACCTGTTATACCCTTGTTTAAAATCCACCAACCTGTTTCTTATCGGGTTTAAACCCACAACCCACTTATCCTAAAATCCAATCCAAAACGTTCTCTTCTTCCCCAACGCTTAGGGGGGTCCAACTATTCACACTCCCAAACAGTAACTTTGGGGGTAGGGGTGTTAACGGAGCGGATACGGCTCGGATATGGCACTTACCATATCCATATCCGCTTACCCATCTCGGATACGGATACAGATACGGATATACGTCGGTATAAAAAATTCATATCCATATCCGCCAAAATCGGATACGGTTACGGATATAGATGCAGATATATAAACGGATATGCATACAGATACAACAAGGATATTAGAAAACTAGATAGTATTCAGAAAAATATAGTCATGTGATACAAAAAGAGTTCGTTAATATGTTCATTATGATTAAAAAGCTAAGATTAGACATCTTGATCATCAAAATTAACCACAAATCCATAATCTAAGAATTGAAACTATCGTAAGAGTATTACCAATATGTATTCGGATTTTTTCGGATACGGATACGGATATTTCACTACAAAACCATATCCGCAACCATATCCTATCGGTAATAGATTTGAGTAACCATATTCGTATCCTAACGGATACGGTTACGGATATTTCCTCGGATACGGATACAGTTTGACACCCCTATTTGGGGGTGTGTGAGGACTAAATTACCCTTCTCCCAAACCAAAACAGGCCAAGTCCATTCCAGAAACACCCTCAACATCAAAAGGGCATTTTCGGCAATACAACTCCCAAAATTACTGTTTGGGAGTGGATATAGCAAACATGCGCTTAGGGGCACTCACAAACCCATTTCATTGCTATTTCCATGGTACTATTCCCTCTAAACATTATATAATCCTCTAAATTTCCATTGTATCCATTTCTCATCATATACTAGAGAGAAACATATACTAGAGGGGTTTTTTAAGGTAATTGCCGATGTTGAGTCTAGGTTTAACACAACCATGGTTAGAGAAAATAACATAACAGAGATTTAAGGGACTGATGAGAAAATACTGAGATTTGCTGCACCAATTTGTAATTATGGATGAATTTAGGGATTAAATGCAATTGCGCCTACTATTTAAGATGTCTTTCCTAGAATAGATCTTAGCCTATTGTGTATCTGATATGGTTTGAATCTACTTTAAAGAAGTGCTCCATGTTTAGATCATGGTTGAGGGATCTTTAAGTATTATTGCAGATAAACTTGTTTGGTTCACAACAATTTGCTACTATATAGATTCTTTAAACCTTTGGGCAATATACATGGACACACAACCCTGGGTCTCACGTTTCATGACAAGACATGTGTATGTGTGTAAAATTTGTTCACATGTAGCGATGTTAGCCATGAATGTATTACCTATCAGCATCCTCTGGTAATTTTACGAACATGTGATCATATCCTTGAAAGAATATATAAACTACATTTTCACACCAACTTGTCGAAAGTTCTAGATTTATTCCTAAACTGGGGAGCTTTCTATCTTAAGGTCTCTGAGAATCTTCTGTTACCGAGCCTTATGAAGGGCTGAGCAGAGTTATACTATGAGTTTGCAGGTCAATGTCCAACTTTATGACATGGTATTAGACTGTCATGCGTTAAGCTTACAAGTCTCCCTGTTAGTTATTACATCGAATAAAATGGAGAAAATGCTCGAGCACACGGAGTGCTGTTTCTTTTGTTTTTTCTATTCTCTTTGTGAGAGCAAGGAATTTCATAGGATGGTCGTTCTCGAATATATATTGTGATCTCATGCTGGTGTGATCAGTACAAGGTTGCTTTCGGTCACATGAACAAGGAATTATCATACCATGCACTATGGACCACTCACAGCTGCAGATATGATAGATAGCCTTGGCTGAAGACCTGAAACGTCCTTCTCACTACAACCTGTAGGGTTTAGTTGTCGTATGCAAGGAGAATGACAAAGACATGTTCTCTTGATCGATAGTACTAATTCGTAAATCAGATAGAACCGAGAATAAAGGATCCAAGCTAATTGCGACTAGTAGGCATGCTTCCATCATTGTTCAGGTGCTGCAATACTGTGCATATCTGTGATTCATGTTCCCTTTCCACTTTTCGCAGGACTTCAGGGAGTTTGTGTATAAGCGTCAACTAAATAGAGAAATTTAAAGATTTGAGATTTAACAGAAGTGCTTGATCTGTTCTGACCAACATTTTGATGTAGCGATCTCTGTAACAGGAAAAAAAATTTTTTGAGGTATGATTATCTTCGTGTTTTTTTAATCAGAGAAGATGAATTTGCAACTTGGATGCTAATTGATCAAGTTCATTATTTGAGTTCCTGAAAATCTTAAGAGCAGAGAAGCACATGGAAAGAACCTTACTAATTTCTTATTCGCAGTACAAGTTCTACTAAAACTCCCTGCAATACGCTTGCAACTCTCATAGGTGACCAAGTCCTTATCCACTCATTATGATTTCGATAGTAATGTCATCATATTATCTGATATGCTTATTCATATATAATTAGAGCCAAGTAGCACCTGCATCATTGTTCAGGTGCTGCAATAATGCGCATACTTGTGTTTCATTTTCCCTTCCAACTTTTCACATGACTTCAGGGAGTTTGTTTATAAGCTTCAATAACATAGAGAAATTTAAAGATTTGAGACTTAAGAGAAGCGCTTGATCTGTTCTGCTCAACATTTTGATGTAGCGATACATGCAGCACAAAAAAAAAAGGACATTGAGGTATGATTACCTTTGTCTTTTTTAATAAGAGAAGATGAATTCGCAACTTGGATATTTATTGATCAAGTTCATTATATAAGTTCCTGAAAATCATAAGAGTAGAGAAACACAAAGGAAAGAAAGATGAAAGCCTTATTTTCTTATTCGCAGCACAAGTTCTAGTATAACTCTCTGCAATACGCTTGCAACTCTCATATGTTACAAGTCCTTATCCGCTCATTATGATTTCGATAGTAACGTCATCATATTATCTGATGTTTTTGTCATAATTAGAGCCAGATAGCACCTGCATCTCTGAGCAAGGGGAGAAGGCTACCCCCTAAATGAAGGGCCATAATCTTGTCAGTAGACCCAATAAGCCTACCTCCAATGAAAACTGCAGGCACCGATGAATTACTATTTCGCCCAAGGAGACGGCTGAGTGCCCTCTCTATCTCCCTCCCATCCATCTCCTCATCGATCTCATGAACAACGGTTTTTACACCGAGGTCAGAGAAAAGTCTTTTTATAGTGTGGCACATGCAACATGAGCTCTTGCTGAAGATCACTACTGCACTCTCAGAAGCTAAATCCTTCACAGTCTCCATTTTTTTTCCCTTCCTTTTTTGAATGAGTTGAGGTCCTTCGGTGAGCATTTATACACCCAGAAAAGTGTAGATTTGAAATATGAAGGGTGAGGTTAATTTGTTTTTGGCATATCTTGTTATTTACAAAGTACCCATCTGATCATTGAGCACTGTTAGGGACACGCTTTCTTGGTGCGAAAAACTTTAAATTTGTTCTATAGATGCTTACACTTTCAAATCACATAACATCCTAATGTCTAACCATATATCTTTAAACAAAGCAGAAACATGGGGTCTCAAGTTTTTATTATGACGTATGTTAGTGTTCATCACAGGTTATTATTATTATGACCCCAGCAGTCAATATCATTTTTAGTCTATCTATAGCTACGAACACGTGATCATATATTCGAAAGAATATATTGATAGGTTTTTCACATCAACTCGTCTTAACATTTCTAGATTTATTCTTAAGTTGAAGTATATCTTCTATATATCTTATTCTATCTGAGAATACTTTTATGATATCAACTATGTTGGACCTGAGATGCTGCTAGAATCAATATAAAACTATAATTCCCAATCCTCACAATAACTTCAGAGTTTTGGTGTAATGGTAGATGGAATAAATTTATGAAGGTATCAGAGCAATCCATGTTCAAATCTCACCGGCCATAAATTTAAAATGGATTTTCTAAAAATTAATATTGCTGTGTGAGTCCAGGTTCTCGTCTAACCTAACTCTTCACAATGAATAACACCTAGCTCTAGCTAGGCCTAATTCATCAATTCATAACTTAAAAATAAGTTTAAATTGATAAAAATAAATAACAATTAAGCGCAATATAAAAAATATGTTATAATCCTAGCACCCCTTGAAGGTTGATGATCGGATGATGAAAAACAAATATCAAGGGCGCTTTCTAAAAAGACAGAGTAATATCATTTCACTAATTTGAACCCCCCTCTCCCTCTCTCTCTCTCTCTCTCTCTCTCTCTCTCCGTCTAACCTAACTCTTCACAATGAATAACACCTAGCTCTAGCTAGGCCTAATTCATCAATTCATAACTTAAAAATAAGTTTAAATTGATAAAAATAAATAACAATTAAGCGCAATATAAAAAATATGTTATAATCCTAGCACCCCTTGAAGGTTGATGATCGGATGATGAAAAACAAATATCAAGGGCGCTTTCTAAAAAGACAGAGTAATATCATTTCACTAATTTAACCCCCCCCCTCCCTCTCTCTCTCTCTCTCTCTCTCTCTCTCTCTCTCTCTCTCTCTCTCTCTCAATTAGATCAGAAATATCACTGGAAATCATAAGGAAAGATCCTATATACCATCGGTAATGAATGGCAAAGACTGAGTCCAAAAAAATTAAACATCGCAAATTTGTCACTTAAAGGCTGAGTAAGATCCTTTCATTAAGTTAAAACCCTAGGTCGTTTTTCCTCTTCCTTTTCTCTCTCTCTCTCTATTAGATCAAGAATATCACTGGAAACCATAAGGAAAGAGCCCGTATACCTTCCGTAATGAATGACTAAGATTGAGTCCAAAAAAAAAAGATTAAACATTGCAAATCTGACACTCAACCATCGATTATTGTTCACCAATTGATGGTTATTGTTTAACTCTACGGAAAATATTAATGTGTAATTATAGATCATCGATGAGTCACTGTAGATCATGCATGAGCTCAACCTGCCATAATTATTAAATAGATCAGATTGAGTGCTCTCCGAAAGGCTATTATAATATCAATTTGGATAACTAAGTTAAAAGTTTTGGTCCGTACAATTTGTTGTGCGCAGCGGAAATTTCGGCAGCACTTCGGCAGCACAACAAGAGAGATTAGATCGATAAGAATTCCCGTCTCACCAAGGAAACAAGAATCTGAAGCGGATATCTCATCAAAGTGAGATATCGGCTCTTCCTCTCACAGTTCTAGGACTGACCTGTCGAGGGATCCTACAAGCTATTACAAATCACGGCAAGAACACAAATTTTTACGTGGTTCGGCAAACTGCCTACGTCCACGGGGCAAGGAGGGGAGAGATCTACTATTAGAGGGAGAGATACAACTGGGGTTTACAATCTCACAACCTAAACCCTCTCACAAACTCTCAGATCCCTCAAACAAATATCTCTCTTAAAGGGATGCACAAATCAAAAAAAACAAATTGACCCTCTGCCTTTGCTCCAAATTTGCAGCCGCAAAAAAGAAACCCAACCTTGCACTTCGCGCTGCTGTAGCCGCTCCCAATGAAACCCTCTCCTGCTTGAAGCCGCAGCCAAAAGAAAAGGACAGCCGACCCTTTATTCTTTGAGTTTGCTTCAGCCACGGAACCCTAGAAAACTAGGATTTATATAGAGCTCAATCGGGTGGGCCTCTTTGTTCGCTGGACTAAACTGAGAATCAAACCCCCTCACGAGTTTTCACGTGATCCTCCACACGTTTTTCTCCTCTGGTGGCCCCCACTCCACAATTCTCCACCTCGGCGAAGTTTTCCCAAAACTGAGCCGACACTGACCACATCAAATGCCTCACTTGTTGCATCCAGTACGCCATGACAACAGACTCATGACAACGGACTCCATCCACAACAAGTCGAGACCCAAACGGGAGTGCGAACACTCAACCCAAACCAAATAGTGTCTACTCACCAATCAAACTGAGCCTATACCGACTACACCAAATGTCTCACTTACTGAGACCCAAATGGGAGTGCAAACACTCACCCCAAATGTCGATGTCGCTCACCAAATCGATCTCACCCCCATCAACTAATCCAAACCCGGCTGCATCATAAAGACTGCCTACGTATCCTCTTGCCCAAGGAATCAAGCCTTCACGTAATTCATCCAAATGGCCTCCAAAGGCCCTCAAACAAATAGAAAAGTCTGCAACTCTTCTTCAATATCACCAAACGATCTGCAACTGATAGCACTCCCAATAGCTCCAAATTGAGACAAATCAAACACCTCCATCTGAGGTGAACCAATGGCCGTATCCAAATTAAGTCCATCAGCTGCAATCGAATCCAACTCATCATCTGCATCCAAATCAACACGATTCCCAATCCGTGTCACATCAGCTGGAATCCTAAATAATGCAGTATTATCTAGAGTATGTGGAGTAATCTCCACCCAACGTGGAGTAGCATCACTCTCCACCCGCTGTGATGTCCCAAAGATCTGATCACCACTCTCCACCTGCCGAGAGTTAAATGTGATATACCTGCTCAGAACAAAATCAGAAGCCAATACCTGATAATCAAACACGTCTCTGAATCCCAAATGTGCTATCGGATCAAATCTCACATCCACGATGTGATCAAGTGCTGGGTAGCCAAACATCCGACGCAACACAAAATCTGAAGCAGCTCCACCAGATCCAAAATCTCTACATGCAGCAGTCGGCAACCTATACATAAGATGACCCAAACATGTCGTAGCCCGCACACCAATGCCAATGCTTGACATCAAACGCCGATCCTCCTCCAGAAAGGAACAGCTCCCCAAATCTGTCATGTCATCTCGTCGCCTTAAAGTTTCCACATCAATGAAGTGTCTCCAATTGCCGTGAGCTTGGCACGAATGCAGACATAGGTCCCTCTTGTACCTCCTTCTAACATCAGACTGAAGTACCTTCACCTTTCTGCCAATACACTTCCTCTATTTGTTGCGGGCTTCTAGGACTTCACACCAACGGGACTTGGTTGCAACCCACCAATACCTAGAGCAATCCCCAACTGCGAAAACCACATACGTATTACCTCCCAATAATGCTCCCTTGGAAGGCCCCCGAATGCCTGAATGAACACCCCTCAGAAGACCCCTCGAATGATGGATAGAAGTGCCAAACTCCACCTCGGTCTTCTTGCTCATACCAATGGGTTCACAGGACTTCAAACTGCAGGTCAAAGCACTCCTTAACAGCCTATTACCAATCAAATAACCCAGCATCAAACAACGCCACAGTCTAGCCGAATCTGATGAAGTCGTCATCTCCCTATCAATCGCCATGCTTCCGAGCAAATAATACAAATTGCTCCTTCTGACGCCCTTCATCACAATCATGGACCCCAATGTGACTTTCAAACGTGCATCCACCAAGGTCACTTTATAGCCAGATGCCACCAAAGCTCCTAGTGAAATGATGTTCTTCGACAACTGCGGAACGAACCTCACTTCATCTAACTCCTGAATCACTCCGTCATGCATCCGAATCCGAACGGTACCAATACCACCAATAGAGCATGCATGTCCATTACCCATGAGCACAACATCCTCTCTTTTCAACTTCTGAAAGCTGGAGAACCAATCCCTCCTAGGGTAAACGTGGTATGAAGCACCCGAATCCAACATCCACTCTGTAGAGTTGGCAACACAAACTGACGGTAGTGCAGACAACGAATAGCCCGAAGAATCCGAATCTGAATCGTTGCCACTAGTCTTGACAACATTCACCTCTGGAGCTTGTACAGCTTTCCCCTTATTCTTCTCGGCTCGATCTAACTTTGGGCATTCGGCTTTCCAATGTCCATCCTCTTTACAAAAGGCACACTGATTCCTACGAATCCCACGATGTGCACCTCTAGACCGCGACCTTCTGCTTCGGTTTGAACCACTCTCTCTCTCTCTCTCTCTCTCTCTCTCTCAATTAGATCAGAAATATCACTGGAAATCATAAGGAAAGATCCTATATACCATCGGTAATGAATGGCAAAGACTGAGTCCAAAAAAATTAAACATCGCAAATTTGTCACTTAAAGGCTGAGTAAGATCCTTTCATTAAGTTAAAACCCTAGGTCGTTTTTCCTCTTCCTTTTCTCTCTCTCTCTCTATTAGATCAAGAATATCACTGGAAACCATAAGGAAAGAGCCCGTATACCTTCCGTAATGAATGACTAAGATTGAGTCCAAAAAAAAAAGATTAAACATTGCAAATCTGACACTCAACCATCGATTATTGTTCACCAATTGATGGTTATTGTTTAACTCTACGGAAAATATTAATGTGTAATTATA